CTGGCTCGTGGGGGTGGGTTGGGGTGTTTGATTTCTCGCTTTCTGTCTCTCTGTCTCTCTTTCTGGTGAGCGCATGCGCCCTATAGCAAAAAACCTCTCCCCCCAAAAAAAGGCAAAAGTCACATTCTTTTCCAGGTTGAGAGGTGGCGATTACAAAACAAAGCAGGTGAACTTGAAAGGGTGAGGATAGGGGTTTACAATGCAGAAGCAAGTTACAGAAGGAAAACAAGCAGGTTAATAATTCCTAAGGGTGTATTCCATCCCTACCTAAACACAATGGAATCTTGACTTTTATGGCTCAGGGCAAATGGGTCTGGTGGCTGTTGGTCTTATCGCAGTAGAGTATCCTAGGACAGTTTAGTAAGGACAGTAGGGATGGTAATCACTGTTTAGGAAAGAGAAAGTTTCCAATATAGAGAGCAGTTCACAATGAAGGTCCCTCACAAGATGGAGCTGTACCTGCTTCAGTATTCGTATATTTATTCCCAATGCTGAAGATCTTCCTATGGAAGACAGAAAATCCATAGCCAAAAAAGACAGGCATATTTGAATGTGTCAGTTTATTTCTCACAGCCATTTGATGGGTGCATTTTTGTGAACAAAATTTTTTTTGGAGAGGTTTTTGCTATAGGTCATGTGCGCTCACCAGAAAGAGAGTCAGAAAGTGAGAAATCACTCCCTAGGAGGGATGGCCATGCCGCAATCCCTTCTCCATTCTCTTAGGATCTTGGGCATGCATGCACACACACCTGGCGTGAGTTTAAGCTGCCAGATCCAGGACTCAAACTGCAGGTGACTACATGGGAGTCCAGTGACATAGCCATTATGCCAAGCTGGTCCCGAAAAAATGTAATACTCTGTTATTTTATGGATTCTGAGATTGTAGGCTAGGGAAAAGTACATTCTGGGGACCAGCAGGTGGCGTGGTGGTTAAGGCGCTGGATACTCCCACATGGCCAACCACAGTTCAAGTCCCGGCTTGCTTTCTCTTTCTTCCTCCCTCTCTCTGGTTAAATTAAAATGAAGTAATAATTATTTTTTTTAAAAGTACATTCTATAGCAATGGTTTTTTTAAGCATTTATGTTTGTTTCTGAATTTGTTCTACAGATCAAGGTGTGGCCAAGCCAGTTTTTAGTTTCTTGAATAACAACAATTCATCGAGTTCGAGTACACCGGCCACCTCTGCTGGCGGCAGCATTTTTGGGAGTTCCACCGCCACCTCCAGCACACCTGTGGCCGCCTTTGTGTTCGGGCAGGCCAGCAACCCAGTGAGCAGCTCTGCCTTCGGAAACTCGGCTGAGTCCAGTACAACTCAGACCTTGCTGTTTTCTCAAGACAAACCAGCAACCACGTCCAGCACAGGGACAGCTGTCGCCCCGTTCGTCTTTGGTACCGGAGCCAGCAGTAATAATTCTGCCGCCTCTGGCTTCAGCTTCGGAGCTGCCACCACATCTAGCTCTGCAGGTGTGTTTGCTGAGGGAGAATACAAGCCATGGTTGGGTCGGACTCCATGGTAAATGTGTCAGTTTTTAGGCAAACAGCAGAGCAGATTATCACAAGGTGGTGGGGGTGCTTTGGGTCTTCTGTTCCAGGGATTCTGTGTGGATAGCGTGCCTTTGTGTTCACGTTTAATGCTTGGGAGCAATTTTTCTGGTTTCATTAAGTCTGATGTTTAATTTTTTTCAGTTTTGTGTTGGAAATGTTGAGTCATAAGGGAACAGACTCTAGAGCTTCTTTTCTTTTTCAAGAGTCCTCATTATGCAGAATATACATTTATACAGCACCGGTGATCTCTGCATGCTAAACTTCTGGTGGGGAACCATCTGAGTTATGTCTCTTTGCCATAAAAGTATTGGCTGCAAGTAAGGGGAGTGTTATTAGTGTTATTAACTGAAGGGTATTTTTTTTAAGAATTATTTTATTCAACTTTATTTATTTTTAATTCAACCAGAGAGGAACAGAGTGACAGAGAGAGAAAAAGAAAGTGAGAAAGCAAGCCGCCAGGTCCAGGACTCGAACCATAGCCATGTGGGAGCCCAGTGCCCCCAGCCACCATGCCACCTGCCAGCGCCTATTAACTGAAGTTTTTGACTTGGTGTATTCCATGTGTTTTATTAAGTAATGGTAGCATTGCATTCCTTGCCCCCCACCCATGAGAGGAAGTTAGTTTTGTCAGGGTCTTGCTGTGTTAAGATCCACCTGGCCCAGCCTTCCAGTTAGCTAGACTTGCAGGCATGTGGTTGCTCCTGGCCTGTTTTCTGGTTGGCCCAGGACCTGCACTCAGGCCTCCCAAGAGCTCCTCCCTTGTGCCCCGTGGCTGGGCCATCATGCAGAACTTGTCTTCGTGGGGTTTGGGTAGTGCAGTAAGAGTCTCAGGAGGTATTTGAAACTTGCGTGTGGGTTTGCACAAATCTCTTGAGGATTGTCTCGCTGTGGCTGTTGTGGGGATCTCACTGTTTCTTTGGGCCTCCAGGATCCTCCTTTGTATTTGGCACGGGACCTTCAGCACCGTCTGCCAGTCCAGCATTTGGTGCCGCCCAGACCCCAGCATTTGGACAAAGTCAAGGTCCCAGCCAGCCCAACCCCTTGGGGTTTGGATCTATATCGTCCTCAACAGCATTATTCTCCGCTGGCTCCCAGCCCGCACCGCCTACTTTCGGGTCTGTGTCGAGCAGTAGCCAGCCTCCCGTGTTTGGACAGCAGCCTAGTCAGTCTGCCTTCGGCTCTGGGGCGGCTCCTAACACCGGTGAGTGCCTGCCGCGGGGTATTTCATGCTCAGGGTCTGCGTGCTTTTAAAGATGGTGTTTTGATTTGAACTTTGAAATCTAACGTGTGTCTTTTAAATTGTCTCTTGTGATTGGCAGAATTATATGTTCAGATTTACCTACAAAGTTTCACACAATTACACACTTTTGAGTATTAAACTATATTATGAAGTGTTATTTCTTCCTTTGACTTGGGCATAGGATTCATTCAGTCCCATTTCTTCTCAGTTCTGACTTGATGAGCTCTCCAGCTTAGATTTGAGCCAGGTTTCCTGATTCTCCTGACAGTTGGCGTTCCTGCCCCAGGCTCAGTACTCCTTCCTGGGACAGTCCAGGCAGCCGAGTTGTCTCCTGATAGCTTCCTTTCTGCTAGTGACACTAGCCTTTCCACTGTGTATTTAAACAAAAGTTCCCACAACTTTTTATTTTCTAAGAGAGATTTTTGCTATAGGCTTTGTGTGCTCACTGGAGAGACAGAGAGCGAGAAATCCCTCTGCAGGGGGGATGGCCACACCACAGTCCTTTCTCCTCCATTCTCCTCTTTAGATTTTGGGCACACATGCACACGTGCCTGGTGTGAATTTTAAGTGGCTGAGTCCGGGACTCAAACTGTGGTTGATTGTGTGTGAGTCCAGCACTGTGACCATTATGCCATCTGCTGGTCCCCACTGGCATGAGTTCCATGTGCCAGGTCCAGGACGTAAGCCATGGTTGACTACATGGGAGTCCAGTAACATAACCATTATGTCATCTGCTGGTCCCCCCATGACTTTTTATGTGGGGTCCAGCTACTTTGACCACCAGGCCGTAGTGTCAGCTCAGCCCCAGAGTTGTGTTGTTTTTTTAAAGACTTTTTAAATTCTATTTTATTTAATAATTTTTAATTTGATCAGAGAGAGAGGGAAAGTGAAAAAACAAGCCACCAGGTCCAGGACTTGAACTGCAGTTGGCCATGTGGGAATTCAGTACGTTACCACCATGCCACCTGCCAGCCCCCAGAATTGTTCTTTAAATCTTTTCCTGTTTTTTTCGCCCCAGGCACCCGACCTAGTATTATAAATATATCTTGATTCTTGATTTTTTACTTTTTCTTCTTTCTGTAGAAAATTTTCTCACTAGAGCCTTTTCTTTGGCCTCCAGTGTTCTGATCCGTGTCAGCACGTGCCTTGGTGGGTTTGTTTCAGACAGTGAGGATGTAGAGAACACAGCGTGCTCTGTGAACTTGGGGATTCCCCCCTTTTATTTTATTTTATTTTTTTAGATTTTGCTCCTTATTTATTTTTTAATTCCCATTCTCTTCCCCTCCCCTTTTGTCGTTTTTTTTTTAACTTTCTGAGGAGCGCGCTCATTTATTTCTTACCTCCCCTTCTGTTGAGTTTACCTCCACTATGACAGCTTAGTTTCCAAGTGCTCTTTTAAGTTTCTCGACAGTTCTGTGTTTCTTCCATGGGTGTGGTGCCATCTTTTGATGTCTTGAGAATATTAACGATGAGCTACTTGGGTTTTGTCCTTAAAGTTCTGCTTCCTTGCTGAGTCAGTTTTCCCCAAATGGCTTTTCTCTGTTACCGTCTTGGTCTCAGCGATTTCTTGTTGAGTCCAGCCCTTAAATGTATGGTGCTCTGTGCCTGTCCACTCTTAATTTCATGAGTGCGGGACACCTGACCACCACTTAAATACTTTGTACACTGATGGGGCTTATAGATCTTGCATTTTATTGCCTGGTTTATCTAGCTTTATTTTTCTTGGGAAAATATGGATGGGAATATCTTCAAGTCTTTCCTCTCATTCTGTCAGATTCCCTAGAGAAGCAGTGTCTCGTTCCACTTGGAGGGTATTGGGGACTAAACTCGTACTTGCCCATGGTCAGAGAGTTACCTGGAATTCTTTGTATTCGTCACAACAGCCGACTCTTAATCTCTCTTCCTCGATATGATGTGTGGCGTCCCGCTCTCCTGGAACCTAAGCCCTCTGGGTGTGTGTAATGCAGGGCGGGGCCTCTGCTCCCACTACTAGGTAGTGCTCCGCCCTGTCAGCCTTCCAGCCTCTGCGCGTCCATTACTGTTGTCTCTTCCTCCCACCGTTAACAGTGGAGAACCCTGTACTGTTTCATGGTGCTTTTGAAAGAAGATAGAGCTAAGTGTCTGTTATCCACACTCTAACCAGAGGTCCGCTCTGCCCTTTTCCTTGGTCATAATAGTTAATGTCGCTTGTTGGGAATTTGTACTGTATGTGTGTCAATGGAGAAATATTTTAGTAAAACAAACCTGTCATTTCTACCTTAATGAAGTATTTCTGCTTAACTGTTGTAGGTTCGGTTTTCCAGTTTGGCAGCAGCACTACAAATTTCAACTTTACAAACAACAACCCATCAGGAGTATTCACTTTCGGTGCAAACCCTAGTACACCTGCTGCCTGTGTCCAGCCCTCGGGCTCAGGGGGCTTTCCATTTAACCAGGCTCCACCAGCATTTACCGTGGGGTAAGAGCCTTTTGTTGAAGTGGGATTTACATTGGCACAGGTGTGTGCATGTGTGTGACTCGTTCTGAAAAGTCATCAAGATGCAGTGTAGTTTAGTAAAACTCTATATATGTTCGCCAGCATCATTTTACTGTATTACAATTTTGCGAGATTATATTGCAGCCTGAGGAAAGCAGCAGGCGTGTGTGTGTTAGCTAGAGCAGGAGGAGGTGGGTGTGTTTGATAGTGAGCCCCACCTCTGCTCACCGGGGAGCTGGTCATGTTAACTGTTACGATGATGTTGGAATTTTTCTCTGAGCATCCTGTCATATTATGAAGCTTTTATTTTTCACAGGTCAAATGGAAAAAATATGTTCTCTTCTTCTGGAACTTCAGTTTCTGGTCGCAAGATAAAGACTGCTGTTAGACGCAAGAAATAAAGGTCACAGTGGTGTTATGCACAACAGTTTTACCAACAGCTGGTGCCCTGCTTTCAGATACTGGATTGTACTGCGCGCTGGGGTTATCTGAAGTCAGATCTGCCTAAGGACTTCTTTAATTTTGGAACCTGCCCCTTTTTTTCTTTCTTTTCGGAAGCCCCACCTTCACCTCTCCTATCCCCCTTTTTAAAAAATAATAGCTAGAACTGGTGACTGATTCTTCAGCAAAAATATTTTATGATCCAGCAGATTATTCACCGATTGGCATAGTGTGGCTGTGCCCAGGAGTACAGCTCGCGTGGCGGGCGGCTTCGTGCGTAACTTCGCGTCTGCACCGTGTGTGCACGGACAGCGTGTGTGGAACGCCTCGGAACTGTAACTATATCTGGGGAATTCTGTATAGATTAGAGGGTGTCGAAATGAATGACCTCCATGCCAAGTTTGTGCTGGTGTATGTATGTGTGAAGTGAGTGGGTTGGGTGTACTGTGCACTAAAATGTCCTGGTAGAGGAAGCCTGATTAAAGAATGGTCCGTGCTAAGGACTTGTTAGACCTAGTTCATTCCCCATTTAATAATTATATGCTCTTTCTATATTTTCATTCTTCTATCACCTGTCTTGCCTTTTTCATTATTTTATTATGAAACTTGTGTAAATACAATTTTGTTTCTGTACTTTTTGGCATAACATAAATCTGTGAACTTGAAATTTTAGTTTTGTGTTAGCAATTTTTTTTGTTGTTGTTTAGTCTTGTCTCAGATTTTATTATGTAAATCCCATTATTCAAAGTTGCCTAAATCCATTTGGAAATCTTTAAAAAAAAATTGGGGATTCTTAAAGTTGAATTTATTGGCTTTTCTGATCCAGTTTTGTTTGGACCAAAAACCAGTATTGTACAAAGTATTAAGCATATATTTTTATATTTACTGAAATGGACTGTGGTGACTTTGGATAATAAGGAAAAGTTTAATATTAAAGCCATGTTTATTACAGTATAATTAACATGTTAAACCATGGGATAAATGCCATCAATAAAAAATTACGAAATACTTTTTGTTCTAGTTTTAACTAAGGATGAAGGTGTACCACGTTAGTGGGAGGGCTCCTTTTTATGAAGGTTAATAATGGCCAATTAGAAGATCATTTCCAAAGAATACATTCAAGTGACTGACACAAGTCCTAAGAGAAGGAGAAAGTGTCTGCATTTATGACATATTTCTGTCTGCTGCTAATTTTCTGGTGCTAGGAATCATGCCTAATTTGCACGTAGACTTATGTGTTTTTTTTAAAGTTGAAAATAAACACAAACCATTTCTGTTTGTACTTGTATTTTCCTTGATAGGTGACTAGACAGTATTTATTGATTGAGTTCTTAAAGATACATACCTAAAGCAGTTTACAAAAATTGCAGTGATCCTTTTGTATAATTTTTGGATTATTTTACTGCATTATATATTTTTTTTTACTGTGTGTTTTCCTGTGGCCCGTAAAAGAACTCTTGAAACAGCATTTGTTTTCAGCATTAAAATTTTTTTGAGAGATTTTTCCTACAGGGTGACTGCGATTGCTGGAGAGATAGAAAAAAATCACCACTGGGCAGAATGTCCACGCCACAGTTCCTTCTCCTCCAGTCTCCTCTCAGGATTCTGGGCACACACGCACCATGCTCGGCGTGAGATTTAGGCTGCCCGGTCTGGGACCTGAACCACGGTTGACTACCTGGGAGTCCACTGATGTAACCATTCCACCATGTGCTGGTCCCTCAGCATTTACTTTTATTCTTCAGTTTGAGTGAAGTTACTGTGCTCTTGATGAGTGTCAATTCAGATCTTAAAAATGCTCAGGAGATTTTTGTGTTTGTGCTACTCATGAATGGGTATTTCTCTTGTCTAAGACGCCATAGGCTGTTATCTAATGCTGTTCTCAGGTAGAAATTCTGTTTCTGAAGTTCACATGGTTAATGGTACCTGTTTGGCACCTCCCTGTTTGGAGCGGGGAGCAGGTGGTGCGTGTGGGAGAAGCCACTGGACAGCCATGTCTTCCTGCAGAGATGGCAACGCCTGACCACCTTGCAAGGTCGTTCTTGGCCATGTTTTAGGCCAATATTGGTAAGACCACTGAGATTTCTACTTTGCTAGAAAAATGGCTAGTTTTTTTTTCTTTTTAGTTACTGAAAACCGTATTTAAGCTGGCTGTATTAAAAAGGGAATCTTTTAACCCCCAAACCTGAAAAGTCTCTGAGCCATCTTTAGGACTTGGAATGTTTTTCAATTTCAAAGAAATTTTTGCCGTAGGGTGTGTGCGCGCTAGCTGGAGAGAGACAGAAGGCGAGAAATCATCCCTCGGGGGGATGGCCACGCTACAAACCCTTCTCCATTCTCCTCTCAGGATCCTTGGCACGCATGCACACGTGCCCAGTGTTTGTTTTGGTTTTTTTTTGAGAGAGGTTTTTGCTATAGGGCGCATGCGCTCTCCAGAAAGGGAGAGAGAGACAGAAGGCGAGAAATCACCACCCAGGGGGGATGACCACGCCTCAATCCCCTCCTCCATTCTCCTCTTGGGATCTTGGGCACGCACGCACATGCATCCGGCGTGAGTTTAATCCACCGGGTCTGAGACTCGAACTGCGGTCGACTACACGGGAGTCCAGCAACATAGCCATTACACTAACTGCTGGTCCCAACCCAGTGTTTTAACCCGCTGGGTCTGAGACTTGAACTGCAGTCGACCATGTGGTAGTCCAGTGATGTAACCATTACGCCATCTGCTGGGCCCAAATCTTGCTTCTTTAATGCCCAGGCTGCGTATGGCAGCTCTGGACTGCATGCATGGTGGCAGCTGCTGCCTCACAGCTGTCCTCAGGTGAGAAGAGGCGTCCTGGTGGGACAAGCACAGGCCATATACTGATCCACTGCTGGCGACTGTTAGGTCTGATAGGTGCCTTGAGTATTACCTGCTTACATGTACCACTTAATCGTAAAACATTTTCTGATGAAGGGACCAGCAGGTGGCATAATGCTTATGTCACTGGACTCCCATATAGTAGACTGCGGTCTGAATCCTGAATCCAGTAGCTTAAAACAACGCCGGGCATGTGAGCGTGCATACCAACAACTTCAAGATAATGGAGAAGGGATTGTGTCATGGACATTCCCCTGGAGGGTGATTTCTCTCTCTCTCTTTCTGTCTCTATCTGGTGAGTACATGCACCCTATAGCAAAAAAAAAATTTTGATGAAATTACTTATTCATATAATTAGCATTTTATTTGAAATGAAAGTGCTGAATTTAACCATTTAACCAGGTTATAAACTTCGTGGTTTAAGCTAAGAACCTGTGTTTCAATTATATTAACATACCACCTTCTGGGCCTGTGGGAAATTCATGGAAATGCTACGGAAGCCTATGCGGTCAATAGAAATGGACAGTTTCTGGTATGTGGATCTACCTACAGACAACAGCCGAGTGGCCACGTCAATCAGCCTTCATTTCCTTGTCGTATTGGGCACGTTAAGTGTATCTCAGAAGCCACTGTCCTTTCAAAATGTAGCCTGTGGCACTTCTGTAGAACTCAGATCAGGCCGGGTTTTAGCTACACTCCACTTTATCCTTCGTCTTCTGAAGGAACCTGTTGTTTCTGTGTCCTGCCTTTCCTCCCCGCCCTTTACCTGTCTGTATAAGTTAGCACAGAAAAGGCTTGTAAGGTCAGAACTGGGCTTGAACTTGCCAGCTCAGTCACCTCCTAGCTATGAGACTTGGTCTTGCGTGCCGGTTGCAACTCCTAGGAAAGGACTAGATACACCGTGAAGCGTGGCTCACGGACTCACCTGCCTGCCCTGGCGTATATGTGTAGCCCATTTCTGAACGCCTCCCTAGGCAGGAGATGCTAGAGCAAACCTCAGGGAAACACAGAACACAGACAAACTGGTGACTTGGTTATTTATTGAGATGAGGAATACAAATTGGCGTACAAATTACTAAAAATTAAACGCTGAATTTTATTTATAGGTGGGCCATCAGATACTGTACGCAGGGAAGTACACACACTGCTTAAAACGAGGAGCGTCTCCAGGCAAGTGCCCGGTGTAAGACTGGCCTCTGGGCCTGGGTATGGGGAAGGGCAGGATGGAAATGGTAGCCACAGATGTTTGGAACACCACTATCATTTAGCCATTCTCTTCAAGGGAACAGTGTACATTGCCAATTTCTTTCTCCTTCCTTTTGCTGGAAGTACTTACAGACAAGTAAAATTACCTAAATCACATGAAGGGAGCAATTTTTTTTTTTTTTAAAGGTTTTTGCCATAGGGTACGTGTGCTCTGTGAGAAGGAAGAGTGAGAAATCACCCTGCAGGGGAATGACCAGGCCACAATCCCTTTTCTGTTCTCCTGCTGGGACCTTGGGCATGCACACACATGTACCCAGCATGAGTTTCAAGATACGAGCCCTGGGACTTGAACCACAATTGACCTCAAGGAAGTCTAGCACCTTAATCACTATGCCACCTTATGGCGCCCAAATCCTTTCCTTAAAAAAAAAAATTTAAAATGAGTTAACACGTGAGACTCATTTTGTAATTTGGACAAAGTGGCACTCAGATACGATGCATATTTTACGATCTGAAACGTGGAAGAAATTGGAGCGTGAGTGGGCAGAACTTGTTACTGCAGAACGCTGGCAGAGGAAGGCACCATTGCTTAGTCCGTGTGCCCAGGGTGCGCCAGCCTCTCGGGACACTCCGGGATGACTCCTGAGACTCCACACGCCCGGACGTCCAGCTCTGCGGTGGTAACGCAGGTCTGCTCACGGATAATACTGGGTCAGAAAAGTCAGGACACTTATTTGCACAGAAAAACACGCCATAACTTTTCTGACAACCCAATAGTACTCTTGGTTCAAGTCACAGTTTTTGTTCCCTTGTTTTAGCTTGGTAGAATGATGAACACTGTTAGTACTAATGAAGACGACTTACACTGAAACAAAATCAGAATTTCTGTAGACAAGATATACCACATAGAAAAATGTTCTGGAAAAGGGGACTCCCACCCACAGCTCCAAGAAAAAAATGTGGCCTGGAGATCCCTCTTCCCCACTGCTTTGCCATTCAACTCTGAGAATCAAAATATCTTTAAGTGCCAAAATAGTAAGCAGAGGGAGACTGGGTTTTATTGTAAAGGTGAAGTAATACTTGTAGTGTATCTTGTAGGGTCAAAGAAACTTGATCTACAGTTGGATCTGAATGAATCGACATAGAATGACTCATGCAGAGAAAATGAGCAATATTTTAAGTATAACATACATTAAACTGGGCTACTTGTTTTTGTTGTACTGTGTAAATAAAACCAGCCTGGATGGAAAACCATTCAATTATGTGAGTGAAACGATAAATGAAGCAGTCCGGAGCTACACGGCTGAGGGACATTTCAACTTGAATTCCCCACCAGTGGGAAAAGTGGCACACACACCAGTGCTACCACACACAGTAAAAGCCATGTTATGTAACGGTTCCTAGTTTCTAGTCTCATAAAGAAATGGAAGGTTTTTCTTTTTTACTGTGAAGAGCGATAACACTCTTGTCTTCCCACATAACACAAGTGAGTGATCTGCTTAGTACTCTCAGGACTCTGACATACTTAACAGGCTTGCTGTGACATGAGATTTAATACAAAATTACTGTGAAAAGCATGGTTTATGAAATGTTACAATAAAAAGGTATTAGGACATCATTACATTTTTGATAGGCAGCAAATAGTGATTCTTTTCCATTTTTAATGTCCAAGAAAAGCCTACTTTAAAAATTGGTACAGTGAAAAAATCTTGCATTTGTTACTGTATTTAAGACCAAGAACAAAGTCTAGGTAGATCCCTTAAGCACTCTCATTTGAACTGTGCAATATATACTTTAGTGTTTTTCTTTTTTGGGAAAATATCAGAGGTGGTGAGAATGCCTAAGAATCCAGTAAGACTTCAGATTATAAATAGTGCAGGTATAGCTCAACGCGGGTGACTGGGACAGCTAGCTAGTAAAAGCGCACACATTAAAACCCCATAGCCTTGCTTCAATAGGAAAATACATTGCCAAGGAAAGACCCAAATTATGACTTCAACACTTTCCTCAACAGTTCAACCCCAGCAGGCCCAAAAACGAGCTGAAAGAACCTAACACAATCTCTGGAAAGGATAACTCCCCCTGCTTTGAGGAATAGTCCATTTAGGAACAGTCCAATTAGGAAAAGTGCTCATATCTTTCGGGCCACTAGTATTGAGAGTTAATGACATAGTCAGAGTCTTCTAACTCACGTTCCCACTGTCGTGGAACTATACAGAGTATAGAAGGAAGTACTGGGTGGTGGAGTCAGGCCGTATTTCTCCGTTCCCGTGCAGAAGTGCGTTGACTTTCCCAACCACCCATAGTACGTGAATGCACTGTGTACAGACAAGTTACAGTCACACTGAGAACACTGAGAAAGACTAATACTTTCTTCATGCCACACACACCTGGGAATATTGCTGATGGTAAATATGCAACAGCTGGATGAAGTCGTTCCCCGCATAGTTAGAGATGACTTGGGGCACTAGGAACACTGGTATGTGAACTCAAGTTCAGTTTACATTCAAAGTCCACCTTCCTTGGTAAAAGCAATCACTACCTTACCTTTCCTCTAAAAAAAAAAAAAATCAATGATAATATAGCAACACGACTTAATACTTTTTATCACCACAGGAAACTTGCCCCCGTGCCCCTCTGTATGAGGAGGCATTGAGAACAGCTGTACAGCTGCATCGTCACCACAGTGAGCTGAGGTCCAGACTAGGGAGCTTCAGGTCAGGGAACTGCTTGGCCTGCCTCACCCGAACCTTCCCATGAACGCACCACCTCCCGGGGCAGGAGGTGAGCAGATTATCCAACTTGTGTCCCCACACCCTCGCTAACAAAAAACAAAGACAATTTCCCTAAGAACTGTCAACTAAAAGATGAATTATGCAGGTGTTTACAAAACACAACAGGACATTTTCCATCATTTTGGGATACACCAAAATAAGTTTTAAAAGTTTCACTTGGAGATTTCAAAGCTGAAAAGACTTTCAGCAGATTCTAATGTTTTAGATCGTAAAGTGTTATTGTCCATTGTTGATTATGAAACCACTTGCCTTGTTTTTGATCTAAAAATTTTAACACTTGAATTAACACATTTTTCTTCTGAAAAAGTTCTTTGGCATTCAAGTAAAATCAATACTTTCAGATTCGTCACTTGTATCACACGCAAGTGACTGCTTTAATTTCTAAATCATCAATTAACGTAACCTAGAGATACTGATGGCCTTGATACATAATTTAGTCTTGCCGTTATTCCAGAGAGGCTGGAATTCAGGACTTTTTTGAGCATCATCTGACACCGTTTCTTTTTACCACAATGGTTCCTGCCACAATGTCATAGGCTGTTCGATTATGTTGAAAAAACAGCAGTGTGATGAAAGCAGGGAAAAACGAAGCAATAGAGAAATTCTTGATCAGAGCCCGAATAGTGGACCTAAAAAATTAAAGCAAAAATATCAGGTAAGGTGTACACCAACCACATACAGGTAACGGTATCCTACCGAGTTCAAAGTAAATATTGAAGGATGTATTCGCATCTAGTTAGAATTATTACCTTTGATATCTGAGTTCACTTCAAGTAGCATTATGTCATGATCAGACCACTTGGGCTATTTCTGAAGAATGATCTACATAAAGACATTAGACCTTTCACATGAAATACAGTAATAACCATGCCTTAGAGAATGAACCAAGGGGTTACAATATCTAAGTATTTTACTAGAATAACTTCCCTTGCTTACCTCTTCTGTGAGTCACTGATTATCATGTGTTTTTTATGTCTTATAAACACAATATGTTTATTACAGTACCCTTTTCTACCTTATATAAAACACTAGCATTTGGGGCCAGCAGGTGGTATGGTGGTTAAAGCACTGGACTCCCACATGGCTGACCACGCTTCGAATCTTGGACCTGGTGGTTTGCTTTCTCACTTTCCCTCTTTGTCTCTCTGGTGAGTATATGTGCCCTATAGCAAACTTAAATTATAACAAATAAAATGAGTAAATAATTTTTAAAAAATACTAGCATTTAAAAATATTTTTTAAAGTTTATTTCTTCTTTGAGCTCATGAGACACAGGCACTCCCAAACAGGGTCTTCAAACCACAATCCACCCCAGCTGCAACCCACCCAGATCACAGCACATGTGCATAAAGCATGCACAGAGAGGATGTGGGGCGTGAACCCAGGACCTTCCCGTGTGGGGCCAGCAGTGCAGAATATTACATTACCACTGTGCCACCTGCTGATCCATGAAGCACTAGCATTTAAAATTACCATGTGTTCTTTTATCAGCTCTCTGCTTGGTGGGATCCAGTGATTATAGAAAGCCTGAGAAATTTTCAGTGACAGCTCAGACTGCAGAATTACCCTATTAATGTTAGATTCCTGAATTTTAGTACACTGAAAAGCTACAGAAAAGTACAGGGGCTGAGTATGTCTCTGGATTCACAGTACTCGGTTTTAAACCCACCTTCTAAAATTGCAAATCTGCCAAAAGGGGATAATAGTATCTGTCTTATAAAGTTGTTAGGATTAAATCAGCAAATACATATACAGTGTTGTTAACAGGGCTTGATACGGAAGTACGCAAAAACATAGGCTAGTACTGACTCTCATTCAAAGCAGTAGGGTTAGAAGCACAGTTTTAAGGACACTGTGAGGTACGAGCGAAAACAAGGCGGCTTCTAGCATCAGCTGTTCATACTTCTTCAGGTCAATCAGCTCTGAGTCATTCTGGCAGCTGTTCCAGCCAGTATCTTGTCTGACTCAACTGACTCTCAGCCACTCAACTCTACAGCTTCCACCGCCACTGGTCACACCTTCGCCCAGAGCCGAATGCCAGCAGATAGCCCTGAGTACCGGAAGTGTGACAAGTTCTACCACATAAGCAGGAACAGAGTACATGCACACATATACACCCTGTCAGAACCCTGACAGCCTGTTCAAGACAGGATAATGGCAGGTATTACCAAATGGAGCCTCGCGACACGTCAGTAACTGACCAGATACCTGCTACAGAGTACCAGCACCGCCACCGAGCCCTGAGCACGGACCAATGTCCAGATCACCTCTCATATTGTGACTGGTGTTTCACGGAACGATCGCCTTGAAAATGCAGGCGGAAGAAGTTGTAGGTCTACAACCATACACACAACTGAAGTAAAGTCTCCTTCTGGCTTTAAACTCAATAAATGGAAGCCTATCTAATTATGTGTCAAGAAGAAAAACACCAATATTCCAGAAACACTGTATGAAATGCTGCGGCTCACCACGCTCGTCGCTGTAGCTGGAATACAGTATCTCCCTAAGTCTACAGTGCATTAAGCTGAGAAGGACTTACGTGGTAATGCTGACGTTGGAGGACGGGATCACTAACACCCGACTCGGTGCAATGAGCACTGAGGTGTCGCACGTCACGACGCGAAGACCTAGCAGAAACTTCCCTGGGGTGGCTCCGCCTGCTCCCCAAATGCAAATTATCTAAGGAAAGAAGGAAAATTTTAAAAGAATTTACTGGCTGAACTAAACCAATTTTAAATATAAGTTTGACTGCCATATATTTCATGTTTTAAAGAATTTCAAGTCAAAAGAACTGCACGGACTACTCAGAGATAGCCACCCACCCGTTTAATTCGGTGCCTTCCCGGGGTCTCTACCATGCACATGTGCGTTACAAGGTATCGCCTGCCTGTAATACTTCTCTGTGACCCTATATTTTGTAGCAAGTTGTTTCTATAAAAAAATACATTTCAAGTTCTAAAGTCAACTTACAAGTATATTTTTGGACCACAATCTGTTTATGAATGGAATTTTGTTTCAATTTCTAAGACTGAAAAAAATCACAAAGAAACTACATCTCCTTCTCAAAGCTTTTTTTTCTTACTTGAAAGATTATATACGTTAGTTAATCAATGAAAATTTAGAAAAAACAGAAAAGTATAGACATTTGAAAAATACAGCAATAATTAGAAATTTCCCCCCATGTGTTGGGCTGATCATCTAAAATTGGACGGTTAAATGCCAATGGCTGCTGAAGTCAGCACTTACCTCATAGAAACAAACTAGTAATCTGTATATGAGAGCCACAACCATCATTTTCTGCAAGTCTTCCATTGACGTGTCTTCATCTATTTCTTCTATTATATAATGCATAGCGAACTTAGAGATATCCCTAGACAAAATAATGGTTTGGGGTTATAAAGAATTTGCTACCAGATCAGTTACACTGAATTTTCTTTCAACAGTAGAAATCATGAATTTTAACTGAAATTCAAAAACCAGTCATTAGGTTCTCGACCGTCTAGTTTCATGAAGCTTTCATCAGCTTATTCAACCAAACACTCAGTACTATCTCGAGCTAGTCCCTCAGGGCCTAGGAGTGGGCGAATTTGACACTGCTTTTCCAGCAATTCCAATCTAGCAAGGAAAACAACAATAAATAGCAATGAGAAGGCGGTCTGAGAGCTGTGCTAAGGAACGCGGAGCATATGGAGACACACCAGGTACACTCAGCCTTATGAAGGCTTCCCAGAAATGGCAGCTAAGCTAGGATCTGAAGGACCAAGTCAGCCAGATTAAGAGGGGAACATGACACAGGCCCTTCCTGGCCCTGCACGCTGCACAGACCTTGTTGTTCCCTTTACCAGCAAGACAACGCTGTTAGTCCCCTTGCCCTTTGCTATTTGTCTTGGCTCCTAGGCTCCTTTTCTCTTAGAATTACTCCCACCTTGAACCAGCAGGTGGGGTAGTGGTTATGTCACTGGACTCCCATGTAAGCAGCCATGTTCGAGTCCCGGACCCGGTGGCTTAAACTCACACCAGGCACATTGTGTGCCAATGCCCAAGATCCCAAGAGGAGAATGGAGAAGGGACTGCGGCACGGTTGTTCCCCCTGGGGGGTGATTTCTTGCTTTCTGTCTCTCTGTCTTTCCAGTGAGTGCACACGCCCTATAGCAAAAACTCCAGCGAGTGCGAGTGCTCATGCAATATAGCAAAAACATCTTTAAAAAAAAAAAAAAAAAAAAAAGAATTCCTCCCTCCTCTTTCACACTTCACGTATCTACTTATCCTGTAAGGCTCAGCTCAGGTAGTAAGTACGCCCTCCAGGGGACCACTCTGCCAGCATCTCTCTTCACTGCTGCTCCCGAACCCCTTCTACCAGTGGCTCTCTTCATTCTCCCATACACCATACTCAACTTTATCACCACACTTCATGCCATGGTATGGGAATTATTTTCATGTTTTATCTTTTCCACCTAGCTGTTTGACTCGCTGATGTTAAGAGACTGTGCTTGCAATATTAGTTTTCCTAGTTCTTTTAAAAGATAATTATTCAATTCCTTTTTTTTTTTTTTTCCACCTGACCAGAGAGAGACCAACAGAGAGAGAGAATGGGGAAAGCGAGAAAGCAAGCCACCAGGTCTGGGACTCTGCCTGCAGTCAGCTATGTGGGAGTTGAGCACCTGACCCACCATACCACCTGCTGGCCCCCGTTTTCTTCGTTGTCATGAGAGAGTCTTAGCACAACACCATTCCATAGAGTTACCTATATAATTTAAAATGTTCTAGTAACTGCATTTTACAAAGTAGAGAGAAGCAGGTGAGCCAACGGGAGCACGCCCGGCACAAACAGCGTGGCACTGAGATCGGTCCTGTGCCCATCCTGGTTCTTCAGGTAAACCGTGAAGTCTCGTCCTTGGCTCGGGATTCCCTTGCCACTGTACTGGCTAAGGCTGTTGTGCCCCAGAA